GCGGTGCTATAGATCATCCCATCCACTATGGCGTGTATATAGATCTGTCGGCTCATTTGAGGAATATTGAATCGGTTACAGTAAAGTAAGCCCCTGGATTGAGTCAAATGTAAAAATCCATGCATGTGTGAGGAGCTGTCAGCGTGTGCTGTAATGACGGATGGCGCTGGGTCTCTGTTTCAGCGAGAGGTGATAAAAAGTCAAATTATGAGTGCCGGGGAGGGACAGGGGAGTGTGGGAGGGGGGAGCAAAGACAGAGAAAAGAGAATTGGACCAGATCCGTCAAATGATAAGAGCAATCAGTCAATGTGGGAACGTTTCAGACGACGGAAAGTGTTATTTCCTCCCAGTGCAGTTCGGAGTCAAGGGTCGGTGAGGGGTCAAGAGTATGACCTCCGACCTCCTGGGAGTTGTTATTGATTCAAAGTCTTCACAGTTTACCCATTTTATTATTAAGTGGAAATGATCGGTTTGCAGTTGCATTGATTTGCAGTAAGAGTTATTTTAAGTAACTTTAGACTTTATGAATAATTTTTCTTATGAAAATTTTGAACCTTCTTTTAGTTTCAGTCAGACTCAAAGAAAACTGATCTTTCATACTGTGTTCAGTCGAAATGAGATTTGTTGGCGAGTTTAATCTTATTCTTCCTTTTGAAATAGGAAAACTGGAGATGAAACAAGAGTCAGCCATTCAAACACCCCTGACTGCATCTTTCAGCACTTAGAAATAATCTGTAATATTTGATTTTATACATTAAATCTCCTTTGAGGAGTTTTTTAACATTAACAGAATGACTGAAATTCATCACAATGGCGTTTTATGATACATAACAGCAAATAAAACCATCAGTGACCTGATAGTTGACTTTAATATTGTGATTTTTAACACTTGAGGGGGGTATAGGTGTCAGCCGAGTAGCTGCAGAGACAATTTTTCACGTTTTTTATATATACTATTAACAAAACAAACACGACTAAAACATGACAAGTTAAGCACAGGTGGCTCTATCCACAGGGACTGCAAAAACGATATAAAACAAAAGTGTCTCAGAGGAGCTTTAAACTTATCCCTTTTACTTTTTTATGGTTATTAGAAAAACAGTGTACATTTCTGTTTGTCTACAGTGCTTTTAATTTGTAGGATACATAGTTCCAGTGGAGGTGTGCAAACACCAGCAGATCATCTTTTGCATTGAGGGTTAGAATTAAACTGTATCCTGTTTGGAAGAAAATAAATATTGAATTGTTTCAAAGTCAGGATTTTAATTCACCTGTTTGTGAAATTGCCCAGACAGAGATCCAGTTGTCCAGGTAGGTTTGAGAGTTTGTTTCAAAGTTAAAATTTTCAGAGGTATTGAAGGAAAATTTGTCTTGAATCCATGTTTCGAAAAGAAATTTCATCTCTTATCCACTTAGCCTCAAATCTAAAGTCTGACTTTGTTTAGACTCCACTGCTGAATTAACTGAACAAATAAATAAATAAATATAGTACCCTCATGTAAGAGTCGGAGTGTTTTTGGTGGCGTATTGTCTCACCCTGACACCCTCTCTACCTCCTGCTTTCTGTCTGTGGAGCATCAAACAGAGCCATGGACCCCCTACCAAGCCGACCCCGGAACTGACCCCCTCCCTCCCTCCTTGCTCTGAGACTGACCCGCTCCGAGGTGTGAACTCCTGTCCCCCGAGCTGATAGAGCCTCCTGATCATTTTTATGGTCCCAATCCCTCGCTGTTTATGACTCTGCAGTTTGATTATAGCGAAAGGGGGCTTGGAGCAGTGAGAGCCCCTAAGAGGAACACACACGAACACACACTCTCAAACCCACACACACATCAAAGCAGCTATGAGAGGAATGTGGACATTAGTTGTTTGTTTTATTATCCAGCACCGGCACTTATCTGCTTAATCATAAAGGACTAGCCTCAGCGTGAGGATGTGCTGACCAAACAAACTTTCACTGACGCTGTTCTCCTGCAGGGATGAGCCAGGTTCACTGTAGTTATTAAAGCTTACAAGGACCATAGGATTTTATTTTGCAATAATGCAGAACACTTTGTTAACACTGCAACAGTTTCTGAAGCCATAAAAAGATGCATTTGAGTGATTCAGCTGCAGCTTACAGCTTAAACAATACTGTCCTTGTTTTGTGTTGAAATATCGTGATGATATAAACTCTGTAACAAGCATTCTTGCGCAAAACAGTAAAATACTGTAAACTAAATTATAACACATAATCAACAACTCATTAATGCACTAAATAGGCTCTTGGCTAATATTGTTAAAAAAAACAAAACATAAAAACGGGAACAGGAGATTCTTTATTTCATGACATTTCTATGGCTATTCCATGATAAAATATAAATTCAAGAAACAAGGCTGTCCCCTCTTATGCTCAGCTGACACCTACCCCCACGCTAATTTGGAGGCATTACTAATACTAATATAAAACTTTCAGTCTAGTTACTGATGGTCTTGTTTGCTTTCGTGTCTCATAAAACTGCATAAACATGATTTCTGAGTTTTTTTGTAAGGGTCAAAAAAATTCCTTACTGGAGCTTTAATGAGGCTGAGCAAAAAATGCATAAAATATTTTTTAATTGGCTTCGCTTTAATGTGTACGTTGGTCCCACCAGATCAAGTTGTGTCCATATTATAAGTTTATTTCCCCTTACAATCATTGCACAGTCAAGAAGTGTATCACTGTTTTAGAAAGTTCATACTGACTTAACATACTTTTTAAACTGACCATAATGCTTTTTTATTCAGTAATAATCAGTCGAGGATTTTCAAACAGAGTCCCAAAAGTCTTATTACTCAAATAACTTTGAAGCACTTTCTTACATCCTGGTTTATATTTTTCTCATTTGTATTTCAGAAAAAATGCAAAATTTAAACTTAATTTAACTTAAAATTAATTTGCAATGTTAAGAAAAGGCAGCGAATCAGAGATCTGCTCTAGACTTCTGTCCGTATTAAGCATTTAAACACAGATACTATGTTTGACTATTACTAAGCACTAAGTCGAGTTGTTGCACTCATGTGAGTCAGACACAGATAATGAAAAAATATACACAGTTATATGAGTTACATTTGTGAGTAAAAAGAGCGCCAACTTAACTCACGGATGTTTCTATGTGACTTTAAGTAAACTCTCTTTGCCTTCTTTCCATAAATAATAATTGTAATCAACTTTTTAAGACACATACTGTAATTGTCCATACAGATCAAAACATTTACAGATCTTTATGCGTACATCTGGATTTCTCCCATGAAAGCATATGGTTGCAAAGTGTCTGCACATGATTGGAAAACCCATTCATAGTAAGTAAATGTCTCACCACATACAGAAACATGGGGACTCATTTTCACCTGAAAAGATTTTGTAAAAAAGAGTCAAAGTGCTTCTTTCACCATGATTAATACTTCATCTTTATTGTGGAGTTGTCTCAGCCTCAGTGTGTATTTATTAGTTAATTGGAAACACTTTTATTAGCATACTAATTCTTTATTCCTTCTATAAATTTGACCTTAACTCCATCCCTGTTTTACCAGATTCAAGTGTAAGAATATTTTTTTGCACCTCTACAGTTGCTGATCTGTACTTACAGTGTGTGAGATACCCAGCACTTTAATTAAGTCACAGTACCTCAGCCCCCCCCTTGTTTTCCTCTCCGGCCCCCTGTGAGTCAATCAGGCTTTCTTGCCCTTCGTTTCCCCTGTGTGGGAGGCCTGTGTGCTGGCCTGAGTAGCTGGGAAAGTCCCATGATTTATGGCCCTTTGCAGGCCTGACTGCCTCTCACCTCGCCTGATGATAGAGCCGGAGGTAACGAGGACCGGTTGCTCTCATCCGCTCTTCTGTTAGGTAAATCCAATTTTAATCATATCGAATTTAAAGGCCCATCAAAGCAGATAGGATTGGAAAGCACTTCTATGGGTAATTGGGTATAGTTTTTACAGGTTATGTGATAATGACATGGATTAGATGTTAATGATTAAGCACCTCAAAGATTGGAGGGGGCATTTTATCCTCAGTTTCACCTGGTAGACTTTCACTTCCGTATTCATTACTTTGCTTTGTTTGATCGAAGCTTGGTGGACTCTTACAAAAGTGTTGAATGTAGCCCAGAAATGAAACCAAGACGGACCTCCTGTTTTTGGTTTGTGCAGAAATATGTGCTGGTTTAATATTTACCTTGTGACTCTTTGCCCTGGTCTCCCCTCCACTGCTGTATCAACAATATTCAAATGCAGCGTGCAGCAGAAAACACACCACCACAATAATCTACGGCTTAAACTGAGAGCATTATCAGCTCCATTTGGAGGCTTTCTACACTTGTTTCCATTGGGGGATCGAGCGGCTCTGATATATTAAAATCAACCAACCTTACATACATAGAAAGACACTCACTGACATGCTCGCCACGAGCAGCAGGGGCAGTAACTCAAGGCCAAAGAAGGAGGTTTATTTTTATCACGGGCAAAGGCGCCAAATCATGTTGGTATGAAGGGGGCTATATAAATGCAAATTGTATTGGAGAGCTATTAGTCCTGGAAAAGGTTTGTATGTAAATGCCCTATAGGACCACAGCAGAGCACTCGGCCAGTTCAGATTAGTAGAGTTTGTGGCAAATGTGCTGCAAAAGACAAAATAGAAAAATGGAGCGGAAAATGCAATTGCCTTGTGGTAAATCATGGTGAACAAGGTGAGTAGTGGAGTAATTGAATGGCCAAGGTGTTTCTGTATGCTTTATTGTGTATGCAAGAGAGGTGTACGGAGGTCTTTTTCCTGTGTAGGTGCAAGTATTTTCATTTTATGGCCATTTTGTCCGTGATTTGTTTTTTTCAGCCCTGCAAAAGTGTGTTTGAACAAAACGTGCGCATATTGAGCAGTTTATAACTCGGTTTTGGCCTTACATCATATTGAGAGCATTTCAAATATATACTCTGTGGTTGGTAATAGATTGTACATTCATATGACACAGAAAATAAATCAAATGTGGCTCTTTAAACTCCCGCATTTACGGAAAGCACTGATTTAATAATTGAACAGCAGGTTTTAATAGACAACATTAGTGCAATGTCGCCCTCTAGCTGCAGACACACAGACTCACAGGCATTCAAAACTAACGTCCAAAATCCACTCACAAAACATTGTAATTTCATCCAGACAGTCAATACCTACAAATCCTTGTTTTAATGGTACAACCTTCATAATAGCACCATGTGCAGAGCCAGCTGTTAGAATAAAGCTGCCTAATATATATACAGTATTTACATTTCAAGACAAATACTAACTGGGATAAAAAAAGATATGTGCAATAGCTGCATTGACAGTTCCAACAGTTTATAGTTCCTACTTATAAAATTTTACATACTGCTGACAGAAAACTTTGAATAAATTTGTGGTTTTATCAGAAAAATAAAATCACTCTGTCTGCCACATCTGTGTGACTAAAATGTAAAGTGCAAAGTAATCTCTTCAACGACCTTGATCCTTCCTTCCAAGGTCATTTTTTTCGGAAAGCTATATTTCTGCAAACCCAGGTCATGCCATCCTAGAGAGAAGCAGAAGATAAAAAGGTGCTGTAAGAAGTGGTTTGAGGGGGTTTTGTATTTATTGCTGATTTTAAGAGCAGTGTGATGATTTCAAATGAAGGAAAACAAGACATTTATACTGAGTGTCAGTAGAGCTGGCTTTAACTAAGCAAATAAATAGTTAACAAACTATCTTATTTGAGCTTAAAGTATCTAATAAACATGAAACAGTTCAGTGGTCGCCTGCTTAGTGATACTGCTGCTTTGAATACATCTTTTTTTTGCAGCGGTGACTGTGTCATAGCCGGCTGAATCATCTTCATACTTATAATGACGTTGCGGAAGCAAAGCCTCTTTGGTCTTACGAAAGATGATAACATGCTTAACTTCACACCCCTAATCTGGTTAACCTTATAAATAGCATCTGCGGTGTGAGCATCAGGGGAAGTAATAATTAGGTTATAACCCTGTTACGACAAACAAGATTCAGCCTTGTATGTAGGAAGTTTAATGCAGGAGTGCTGTGAGTAACTTTATCACAGTTAAATAAGGATTTATATAACTAGCTTAGCAATTGATGCTGCTTTGAAATTCACAAGACCTTAAAAACTGAAAGGCACATGTCCATTGTTGTTATCTTATATTTTAGGTCCTTTTGTCATCATACACAGTCTTAATTTCAGCTGAACAAAGAAATGATTAACAGTGAAAAAGAGCTCCTCCGCAGCAGAGCATGACTCCTCCTTAACCGTATGCATATCATCATGGATACTGTGTTTATTTACCTGCACTCCCTCGGCTGTGATGGCTGAGCATGCCTGGACCTGCCACATGCGATCCCTGATGGTGTGCAGATTGAGACTCTCCGCCAGCTCGGACGCCGGGGTGGCCGTCATCAGGTCCTGCTTGTTAGCAAAAATTAACAGTGGCACACCAGCAAGCGATTCCTCCTCCAGCAGCTCAGCCAGCTCCTGGAGAAATGAAAACAGGAGAGTGGTCATTGGAGGAAGAAAAATGCATACAGTCAGAGATTTTTAAACTATAACAGAGCCTGCAACCATCCATATTTGCCTTACAATCACACTGAAAGTATTTTATTATTGCACTCCTGTCAAGAAATTCAAACTCACCATACTTGTCTCCTCTAATCTTTTCTTGTCCGAGCTGTCGATCACATAGATCTAGAAATAACACAGTTAAACATATTAACAGGGAGGTTTTTAACGCTCCTGTGAGGAGTTTTTCGACCCCTCTGAAAAAAACACTGAAATCCATGTTGATCACATCACATGAGAGACGATGCTTTTGAAGCCTCAATTTAAAAGGGTAATAAAACTGTATTAGTAACACTTGCAGTGAAATGATACATGAGGTTCAAAGTGATGTGCACAATATCAGCGCTCATGGCACACCTCTTGCCAATTTTAAGTCAAGACTAGCTATTGCATAAAGTAGCACATCAACAAACCCTCCATCTATCCATTAGCCAGTGTTGTTTTTGTTGACGATGACGCTGAAGAAAATATTTTGTCAACGACCCTTTTTTTCCACAACATGACGTGACGTTGACGAGCTAAACATAAGTTTTAGATGACTAAAATGTGACAAGACAAATGTGCATTTACGTTGACGAGACTAGACTAGATGAAAACGTTAGTGGTGGATGACATACAGAGTTGCAAAATTCATGAGGATTTTGTCAGTCAAATGCTAAACGCTTTTTCAACGAAAACAACACTGCTATTAGCGATTTTATAAGGCAGTTTTACAACTTACTAGTACATCTGTGTTCTCAAAATAATTCCTCCAGTACGGGCGGATCTTGCGCTGACCTCCGATGTCCCAAACATTTAGCTTGAAGCCAGATGACTGAACACTTTTTATATTGAAACCCTGCAGAGACACAGGACAGATGATTCAGCTGTTGTTTCTATAATACTTGCAAAGGGGGACATCAATGCATTATCTGCAAATCTGTTTTACAAAACTAAAGAATTGCATCTATTGTAAAATGAGTGTCTTTGTGTATGTGTACTTGTGTAGGGGTGATATGGCTGATATCTTCGGCTGCCAGTTGTTTCAGCAGAGTGGTCTTGCCAGCATTGTCCAAGCCGAGCAACAGCAAGCGCACTTCCTGCTCTGGAGACTGTTTCATCCGTCGAAGAATGGACAACAGGCCCTGCAGGTGGATCAGAGAGCACACTTCAACAGGACTAGTATATTCTCGTTGATTTGGTATAAAATCAATGCCTTGGTGGGGTTGGGTAACACTCTGGTCAACACAGGTAAGTTTGGTGTCAGGGTTTGGCACAGGATCATGACACAGCTTGTACAAGAGGTTTAACACTAACCACACAGCAAGAGTCATCTAGAACAGGATTTAACTGTTAGCGGCTTGCTGTGACCCGCTAGTGTTAGTGGGCCATTTGGCATGTGCACAGTTTGTGGCTTGGATCCAGAAAGTGGTAAGAAAGGAAGGCTTTGACTCAGGCCATTCATGCCACAGAGTAATCACTATACTCTGTGGGGTGTAATAAGTGCACTGTGACTTTGTCAAATGTAAAATAAAATTCAAAAAACTTAATGACATCAAACATTTTCTCTGCCAGCTTATGTAAAACTTAAGAGGCCATCCTAAAACTAACTTATCCATTTGTACTTTTCATACTTTTCTTACAAAAACAACTTCACGACCCTATCATGTGATTTCTTTCTATCTCCCTTTTTTGTTAAGGACTCTGTACATCTTTTAAAATGCAACTCGTGGCCTCCAAAACTGAAACACGATGCACAACTTATATAAGCATCAATAATGTGCAGATATAAAGTTGCTGGGTGATGTCAATCCCAAACCATCAGCCTTGACATTGACACATTTTTGGCACTACTTTATAGAACAGCCAGCCAAAAGCAAACACAGTATACATACATGTAAACTATACGCCACATTCACTGGGAGTAATTTATGTAACGTTCGCTGTCGCGTCCACTCTTTAGTAGCAGTGACATACTTTTTTTTTTTTTTACAACAACCGTGACACAGATAAAATGCAAACATTAAAACATGTAATTTAAGACAATTGAATCGTTTAACTCACCATGTTTGCTTCAGGTGTTGTAGTGTTTCGCCCCTGCCTGCTTAGACTGAGTGGATTAAAATCTCTGTAACGATTCCGATTGCGGTGGGGGGGAAACAGCTGTCAGGTTCCGTTGCCCTGGAAACCGTGACGTCAACGTAAACAACGTAACGGCTGGGTCTTTGCACAGGCACGAGACCTAAATAAAGTCGTTAAAAGGACTGAAATATGGAGAAAATACTAAAATAAAACCTGGAAAAATTTATAAATACAATTATTTTTTTGTCCTTTGGTAAATATTCAGAGCTGAATAGGTTTCCCGGGACTTTTATGATATACAAAGTCCCTAAATACTTTAAGGATGCTTGGCAAATTTGCAGATGGTTGCCAGTGTTATGTGTTTTGCTGCATAGGTTATTCCTCATTTATTCATGCTTCAAGTTAAAGTTATAAGAATTCCTCCCTTGAATGAGTAAAACGTTTATTAAGGATAGTTGATGTTAAGTCTACGGCGGCCGAGAACCGCCACTGCTGCAAATAAAAAAAGAATGCAAAAAAAAAAAAAGAAAGAAAGGAAGCCACAACGGAAGATACTGATGAAAAAAAAAAAGAAACAAAGGCCTGCTGCAGATAAAAAAGAGGTGGTGCAGATAAAAAAAAAACAGTTAATGAAAGTTAATGACGCAAAAAATGTGGCAATGCAAAAAGGAAAAAAAAAGTGACAGCAAAAATCAAAGGATTTCGCTTCGTGTACTTTTCAATGTGTCATTTGGTCAGATCATGTTGCGCCTGAGTCGATATGAAGTTGAACTGGAGGATGCCGGTGCGGTGTTAGCTTCAGTTCAACTGCATATCAACTCAGGCACAACATGGCCTCAACAAATGACACACTAAAAAGCACAAGAAGCGAAATTAAACAGTAACCTTTTCACTAACTTCTTTGCTCGTCTTCTTGCCGTTGTCTTCTGTGCCTAAATCGTAAAACACCGGTGCATCATCATTATTGGTCCCCGGCAGCTCACTTCCATTGTGGATTTCTTTATTTGCATCCTTTTTAAAATTTTTTTATTTTTGATCTGCACCGTTTCTTTTTTTATTTGCAGCAGGCTTCGGTTTTGCATCAGTAACTTCTGTTGTGACTTCTTTTTTTGCATTCTTTTTTTTAATTTGCACCAGTGGCGGTACTCGGCCACCGTAAAGTACAGGTATTTGATTTTTAAAAAGGGGAAATCTATACTCAAACATCTATCAGACAAAAGGTAGCAAAAAAGAGGAAGAGGAACAACCCATAAAAGTACACTAACACCCTGGGTAATTTTGTTTTGTCCACAGGCAGACACAGCGCCCTCTACAGTCCTGCTGAGGACTCCGTTTCATATTACTAACGCTGTTTCTGAGTCAAGGAAAAACAAAAACATGTCCGAGTGCGACAAGCTCAACCATTAACCAGCTACAGCCACCTGAAGTCACCTTAACAAGCCGCCGATTGGACCGACTGCTATATGATTCCCGTCGTGTCAACGGCCGACGACCCAGAAAGATGCCGCAGAAAGCACTGGGATCCATTGTAGGTCTTCTTTGTACCGGGACCTGTCTGGTGCAGGTAAGCCGCTGCTAGGACTCGCAGGGTCGGATTAAGCTTGAAGGCGAGGCCGCGGCTCCTCGGTCGGTTGAAGGCCTCCTCTCGATCCTTTTTGTCTCCTCCACAAAGGAAACTGGGCACGGTTCGTTAGTGTGTACGGCGGATGACGTCAGTTAGTCAAAGTTTTTTATTAATATTTCGACAGTTTACTCGCGAGGTAACGCAGTTTTTACCTCAAAAACCAACACAGCAGTCATCTATAATCTCAGTTTAACAGTTAAAACCGAGAGGGAATCAAGATTAACGTTAGCCGATGCTAACTGGTACCCGGCAAATTGACGTGTTTATTCAGAGAATTTGATGGTAGCTGGTTAGCTTTTGTAGGCTTTTCCTCTTGGTGTGCTTTGACGAACGGATTAATAATTTTGTATAATTAGGCGTGGATAAACAGGGAACAAAAGAAACCCTAATCTTGTGAAAGAATGTTTCATTTACATAACTGAACTTATTTACTGTGACTCAGTTCTGCCCTGCAACTGTAGCAGCGTCTTGTACTGCTTCGGGTTTGTCCTAAAACCTGCGTACTTCAAGCTGACCTGTAAATAAACTATTTATCAAATTAAACTAATGGTGGTCATATTTTGTTTAATCTTATTTTCACAGCTTTAAAGAGGCACCAAATCTCTAAATATCACCATGTTAACCATACCGGTATGGACACCTTGGCAGTATAATGCAATACAATACAACACCTCTACCTGAAATTCTACCCTTTATGAAGCTTAAACATGTTCAAATTATGATAAAATGGTCAAACAGGTGGTTATTGTTCTTCAAATTCATTGTTGCAGTTGTAGTAGGTGTTTTGTAGTGAAAGGTGTTCCTAATATTTTGCTCCCTTTATGTTTGTGAATGAACACCTTTCAACACAACACACTCCAGGACACCACCACCAAAAACTATATCTGTAATGAACAAATTCCAAGTATCTGTCTCTTAAAACTGTGAGTTTAGGAGCTTCCTGAAGAAGAATTTGTAAGACAGTGAATGGACTGGGTTGTAATAGATATCCCAGGTGTTCCTAATGATTTGGCTTGTTGGTGCAAATGTATGTACATAGTAACATTATGGGAAATCAGCACAAAAGTGAGCAAACACTATAAATGACACTGAGGTGACAAGTGACAAAGGCTAAACAGATCGTGGAAATAGGTCAGTTTACCAGGAGATTGCAATGCAACCTGTGTGGTTGAGTGTTGACTCAGACATTCACTTTGTGTGCCTTTTGTGTGTGTTTAAGGGGAAGGAGTTCTGTTTTGGGGTAAACAATGAGCAGTACCGCTGCGAGATGGGCTACTGCTGTGGAGAGAGAGAGTGCTGCACCTACTACTATGAACTCTGGTGTAAGTTCACTTTCGTATTTGTCAAATCTTTATCCATGATGATTAAATGTTCTTTTATAGTCCATTTCCATTGTCAATCAAAAGCCTTTCTTTGAGAATAAATCTTTCAAGAAGATATGCGGACTTGCCCCACATCTGTTTTTTCATCCTGTATTAGTTTCACTTTGAAAAAGAAAGTACACTGCTAGGGGACGCTGCTGTTTCCTGCAGTTTAAGATCGATTTTTAAAGATATTTTAAGCTTCTTGACCCATGAACTTAAAATGTTGCCCTTTTCTGTGTCAGGGACAACCCTGCCTCATTTCACCTTTTCCCTGTCGATGATTATAAGCTCACATTGAGCCTGTCCTCTTTGACAGGGTTCTGGTTGGTATGGACCCTGATCATTATGCTAAGCTGCTGCTGCGCCTACCGACACAGAAGAGTTAAGATGCGTCTTCAACAGGAGCAGCGTCAACGTGAGATTAGCCTCATGGCCTATCAAGGAGCCTCCAGCTCCTTCATTTCCCCTCCACCACTTAATTTAAGTGAGTACTCATTGTGTTTTACAAAGGAAATGATACTGACACTCTACTTTGTTTGGTTTTGATGTTGGTCATCCTCTCTTTATTTAATTTTTATAACCTTGAAATTTTTCGTTTTGTAGTCTTTCAACCTAGTATGTGGACTGAAAGTTTTTCAAACCAATCCTGTAGGCAGATAGTGGTACAGCAAATGTTAGAAAAAAGCAATTTTCAAAGAAAGTAGAAAAGGCTTTTTTTTATATCCAGTCATTTGCTGCTTGGCAATCCATGTCCCTTATCTAACAGAAAAGCATGCAAGACAACCAAAAAGAGTAAACTGAGAACAACTGGGAAACATCTCAGCTATTTTATCTGTACAGACCTCCTGATACTACAGCTTCACGACCATAACCATGATTTATACCCTGTCACAATGAACCCCTGTAAAAATATCTTTACCTTAAATTCACCCTCACAGACATTATGATGGTAATACCACACCAGGACTGTAAATTGACAAGAGTCTCGAGATTCAGTTATTATTAGGAGAATACAGTCATGGTATGTTAAACTGCAAAAAAAGGAAACATGCTAATGTATTGGGATTGGGATACAGTCCCTATGAAAGCAACATGTAGCACTATGTTGCACTCTTTTATGAGATTTATCAAAGGAATTGATATAATATAATTTGAGAAGAAAATTAGCATGTTAATATTATTGTTTTGAATGATCAGAATTATAATCTAACTAGGGTAAAGTGTGGGTAGCTCTGCATACTGCCAAAGGCTCACGTATCGAGGCTAAAACCTTGCCCCAGTGGCCTTGGATTTGACCCCAGCCCTTGGCTCCTTCCTGCTTGTCGTCTCCTCTCCCTCCTACCAGTATTTCCTGTCTCATACCAGCTGTCCCACAAAACACTCACTATTAAATAATCTGCAATACAAGAATTGGTACAGTGTTATCAGGAAATAAAAGAGGGTTTTGGGATGCTTTGTGTAGTTTATTTTCTACATGTCAGTGTCAGTTTGAGTTGTGAAACAACAGATTTCTCTCTGTTTTAACGTTTTATCTTGAACAAGCAGCACAGGACAGATCTGATTACAAATACATTTTTTTCTGCTCATCATTGATTTAAATAGAATATCACTGTCTTTATTAGGATGATGGTTTTAAAGTTTTTGTAATTTTTTTAGGGTTCTGGAATGATTGCAAGCTTCCTGACTATGAAGAGGTGGTAGGTCACCCTCCGACACCCCCTCCACCTTACTCTGAAAACCCCCCTGAAGCAGCTTCAGCACCCCCTGCACAAGTGAGCCAGCCCGATTCTGCAACGGTTCCGCCACAGCCAGCTGAAGAAGCACCAAGGATGGACAGCCAGGCGTCGGGCTCCATATCAAACCAGGAAGCAGCGTCAATGCCGGTCCATGCACAGTGTGTGGCTGTGGAGAATGTCGAGGCTCCGTTGATGATGGCTGAGGATGATGAAGAGGAGGACGAGGAGCTCATCACTCGCCGTCGCCATGTGACCGGTGACTCAGGGATTGAGGTGTGTGTTTGTCAGCTGGATGTGGACGAGGGCTCAGGGCTTGAAGAGGAAAGCGATGAGGAGCACCGCATGTGCAAGGTCAGCGGTCGGGACTGCTGCTCCGGGCAGCAGCAGCAGCAAAGCTTCAGTCAGAAGGAGCACACCTCCGAGCTGCCCACCCAGACCGCCAGCACCAGCACTGGGGACCACATGGTGTGATCTACAGCTTTACTAACCAGCCAACCAGACTGACTTTCTGCCTCTCACAGAAATATCATCATCACCACAGGGGCTGCCTGTGTTTAATCTCTGAACTAACGCATAGGCATGACATAACAGTGATGATAACTAATCCTTAACGGCACCTGATTAGGAATGATGAACGACACGTTATGTGGACCTTTTTTGCTCTGCTTCTCTATCGCAGGGAAACCAGCAAACACCTTTTGATCCTCCGTTAGGTCTATTTTTTTCAGAGTGAACATGAGAGCGTCATCAGAAGGCAGCAAATGATTGTGAATGACACCGGAAATGACTGTCTCCCTTTGCTACCATGCTCTCTTTGAGCACTGCCTTCATGTTTCAATATCGCCGCTCCCCCCTGGTCAGAACATTTCCCGCCGTCCACCCGTCTGACATTTTACCTCCACTGGGATGACCAGCAAGGAGCATACCAACACGGTCATCAACATTTCTCCCCCTCCCCCCTCTGAACTCCACAACAACTAAGCAAAAGAGTCAAAAGGAAAACATCTTGAAAACTTGAGGATGATGCTGGACAAATCAAAACAAGCACATTTGTTTTGTTTTTCCCCCAAAGCTGCGTGTGTCTGAGAATTAACGTGTGTGTGTGCTGTGAAATCTAGGGCACAGCTGCACGGTGATGTCAGCTGTGAGGTCATGGCAACCAGCGTCTGCTGTCCTCTCTGTGTGAAGGGGTGTGAGACTCTTTGCATCTTGAGTGGAGGGATTTGGGGGTGGGGGGGCATGTAACCACAAATAGCAGAGAAGAGAGACGGGAAGGAGTTAGTTGTTTAGTCTCCGGGTTTGAAATGTCATATAACCTTCTTTGATATCCATACAGCAGTGTCCACACCTCAGTGGTCACTGATAGACATGTTTGTAATTTTGGGGGGGGTGACCAGCTTTGAATAATTTATTGATTGTGTGCACATGATCCCCCCCCTCACTTCGGTTTCTGACTGCATCAAAGTCGTAATATAGCCTAAAGGGCTATGCCACCACTTTTTCTGATCCACAAACATCCCCATGAGGCTTTGTATCAGTGTGTTTCTTTTTGCTCCATCATATCAGAGTGAGCATCGGCAGCATTTAGCTCGTTCTACTCATTATTAGTTAGTTTAGATTTTTATAAAGGATGTAGTCGTGGCTTTGGTGTTCTGTTTTCAGAGTCATAACTCGCTATGCTTCAGTTAAATGCCACAGGTGTCACTATAAATCGCAACAAAGCTCCTGATGGGGGGCTGCTAGAGTGCTTATGTATTAGTGGGTGGATGTTGAAGTGCAGTAGGTAAGGGCTGAGTCCTCTATGTGTGTGTGAGTGTGTGTGTGTGTATCTTTATAGTGCTGTAGCATCTGGTTTAAACACAAAGCAAAGAGATGGATCAGAAGCACTGATGTTTTGCATGAGGCATGGATTCTGTGATTATATTTGAGTTCACTGATATTTTTCAGCTTCTTGCTTTTGCTCCTCACTCTGTCATATTAGGCTACACAGTTTTTTTATGGTTGCGAGGTGACCTGAGGTTGAAAATCTTGTATTCTTGAGTTGTTACAACTGTTCGAGCCGCGCTGTCTGATGCAGCGGCGGTTGCTTGTTCGCTGAGGCGGTTCTGGCTCTCTCTCCGGGGCCCCGTAGCTCCTGGCAGCCTGAGGGATTTGCGGCGGTATTTTCCATTGGCAGCGGAGGCTGAGTGCATTAACAAGTCGAGGTGGATGCAGGCTTCTGCTCTGCAGTCTTGTCACTGTTGGCTGCAGACTCTGTTGTGAATAGCTGCATGCTTCTTTGCATCTTATGTCGCTTGCCCTACTTACTGTACTGTATCTATTCAAGGCATTAGAACAGGGCGTTATAAGACAGAAAACAAACATAAAAAAGGGTTTATGTTGATTAAAATACAAATCTCTAAGAGAGCAGAAGTAAATGTTTCAGCGAGGATTTCATTTGGAAACAAAAAAAAAACGTATATATGTTTCTTTAATAATGGAGTGCAAGAATGGACACAGTGTACTGCTCTTAAATGCCCCCTCATCAGCTTCGTAATGTGATAGTGGTGCAGTAGTTTTCTGTAAAGACAGGCAAACATGTCTGAAATGCAGCGTGTTAGCTCTCGTATTAATCGAAGTCCAAACACCTTTTTGAAATCGAACCACAAAGTATCCAGCTGGAAAAACTGGCAGAAGGTGCTACATGTCATGCTCGGTTGATTTATTTATTCAGGCATTTATATAAGTAGTTATGTGACGTCTGCTTCAGTTCAGACGGGACTCTGACAAGGACACATTTACGAAATTCTTGGCCTCCAGACAAGACATGGCACTGCTGATACCTCTTTCCTCCAACTGGCAGCAGCCCAGAGATTTGTGCTGGCTTGATCTCCCGTCTGAGCTGAACCCCGTATTGTTTCTGCTGAAGTATAGGAATACAACACGAGAGAGGCATCGCACCAGAATCCACAGCTGCCTGAGGCTCGAAATGAAAAGCGATTTACTTTCATTTTCATTGCTGTGGTCTGATCAGAACAAGCTGCGTTGAAAAGTTTGCAGCGGCCTTGTGTTGTGTTGCTGAGCAGGTGCTTAAACTAACATGACAATGACCTTTTCAGAGGAGCTGTTACACTGTGAGCATGACTGCACACCATTAGCAGAAGTCATATAAAAGACATTGTTTGGCCAGCACACCTCAAGCTGCCTTGGCGCATCTGTAGAGAGAAGAAGCCTTGATAGTGAAGCTGCATATTGACTAAAGGTTGAAAGAGTCGTGCTACTGCCTTATTATACAGTAGGTGTAGTTCGTTTGTTCGTCATTAACCCGAGCTCGCTCCTCTCACGCTCAGAAAAGAGGATGTGGTTAGAAACATGTTACAGCCACAAAAGTTCAGCTGTCACGTCCTGCAGACTTTTAACATGCTTTGGTTTCGTATCTGAGTGCGTGGTTGTGTTGAGTTTAAGATACTGTGTGTGTAGATAGTTGTGGCACTGATGGACTTGTTGAGACCAGAGTTTGTGCTCGTTCTGCTCTTGTTTCAAGGTGCTGGTCGCGAATAGTTTCTGATTTGACCTGACTTGAATGCATGACTAAGATTAGTTTCTGATTCATCCTGTTTGTGTTGTTGTTTTCCTCCTATAAGAGATTACTTCATAACCTTCTTGTTAAGGTGCATTTTTTTCCTCTTTGTATAGACAAAATGATTGGGGCGGGGAGGTTGGGGAAAGAGGGAGGGACGGGGGTTTCTTTAGTGCATGAGTTAACTTGAGGTCCATAGTTTTACCATTGCCAAACGACGACTATGCCTCGCTAGTTTTCACATGTTTACCAAGATTAAGGGCTAAATCCGTCACTCGTCGTGGACAGACATCCATCCCTTTTGTTGAGTGATTCATCCGCTCCGTGCTGTTTGTTTGAAGCCACAGTTGCCGAGATCCACCTCCATCTGTGTTTGGAGTTGGATGTCCTTTCTTAACATTGTGGTGGAGCTCATATTTAACAATAGCTGATTGTATATTATGATCATGTATGTTTGTTTTATAGGCTTTGAGTTTTTGCCTTTTTTGTTTTCGTCAACCTGAACAGAGGTGCTTGATGCGACCCACCCCCCACTAACCCAGTGAGTACTTTCCATTCCCTTGTATTCAGCCGCATGTGTGTTGTAATGAGAGTTTTAGCTCCGCCTCCTTCGGCTCATCATAAACCGTGACTCCATGTTAACAGAAAATGTAGCTAACACTATGGCTATTTGTTATTCCTCTGAGCTCGGCCCCCTTGGTAACAGGGACGCCGAGCGGGAGAATCGACAGAATAATCAACCAAAGTCGCTGTCATCTCCATGCTACATGTGTTCTTGTTGTCATAGCGATGGTCTGTTGGGTTTCCCACTCTCAGGGTTATCTTGAAAACTAACTCTTCTTCAGTCTCATAAAGCCAAAGCAGTCACTTAATAACTCTTTCCCTTATTGTCGTCCATGATTATCTCTGCATCATGCACCTCTGTAGTGTATGTTACTTTTTCTCTACAAGGCTATGCAAAAACATAAACCTACTGTTATATGCTGCGACCCTTTACTCACCTTCATCGTCATTCGTCTGTGGATACCGGTAAAAGCAATATAACTCAGTATGTGTGGCACTGACTGTAACCTGCTTTATTTGGTCTGTGTACATGTATTTGTTTAAGAAAATAATGAAAAATACTTGTAATGCTATAAAAATGATGTAGTGTGTATGTATGCTTCGGCGTGAGCTGAGGGGCTTGACTTCAAAAGCCATCCTAGTTTATATAAATGTATATTTTTCCTGTCTTTTTGTGTTTTCCCTGCCTGCCACCTCCGATACTTCCTCTTTGTACTCTGACTTAAGGGTAAACCACATTTTGAATTTGTGTAAGCTGAAAGGAAAGAGTTGTTTTCGTTGGAATCCGTCGTCATCCGTTCGCTATTTTTCCATCCCTCCCCCCTTTTTTTTTTTTGTTGCACTAAATCAATGGTTTGATATTTTGTGTTTCAGCAACAGCTTTCTTCTATTTCCATCCTGACGAATTTTCACAGACTGAATATTTAACTGTTGCCTTTAATCCTCAGTTCTAACAGCATCAATTTCAAAATTTTTATATACTATACATATGAAGGACCTCAACACAGAACACAGCCAGCTAACACGAGGCAAGAACACAAAAGGGTTAATAATGCGTGAACTTTTCCGGAACCCCTTAAGTCTCTTAATTCGAGAAACAAAAATACTTACAGATGACGTATTAATTGTACTTTTTATCCACCATTGGGAAAACCAAACATGGAGGTGCCACGTTTGAGCGGTAGACTTTTTTTTTTTTTTTTTGCCAAAATCCTCGTTGAAAAGGAAGTAGGAATCAGACTCTTCCTGCGTTGCTTTTCCAGCTACTTAAAACAAGCCAAAATGAGTAAAGTGATTAAAAAAATAAAGCACTGAGTGATGAAAAAATCAAACAAAAAACTGCTTTGGTTGTGGTAAGAAGTCTGCTGTGTACTGGTAGGGTCATCATTTGTATTTTATTTTTTTAATAAAACAAACATTGGCACTCAGCAGTGTGTGTCTTTCCATTTCTTGATCTGAATCTGTTTTATTTATTTTTTTAATCTGTTTAATCTGAAGAGGCCTTTGCCAGGAAAAATGTTTAGTGGAGTGATAACAGAAAATGATACAACAGTTGGTTTATTTAATTTCCCCTCGGGGATAAATGAAGTTCGTCTTCTCAGATAAGATGACGTCTGTCAGCGTCGCTTTGAATACAACAGCTCTGGGTCTCCGTTCTGTGCTGTGCTGTACTGACCTGTCAGTATTAGATCTTCCCCTCATGATCATCATGGCCTGAAAATATCAAGATAATGACATGATTTGAAAAAACTTGAAGATAAGACAACACGGTCAAATTCAAACAACTTACTTAATAAACATCACCAACAAACACACTTGATAACCTGTATGTCTTAGTGGATTTCTAATGATGCTTAATCTTGTGATTTATCCACATCACAGAAACTTTTTGCCTCTCGACCGATTGTCTTGTGATGCGGTCGTAACTTTATTTCCCCCATGGTAAAACTATGCTTTTATTCTGAAAGACAAACTACTTCTTGCTAGTAGTAAGTTGCCTCTAAGAAGAACTTACAGAAGTATTTTCACTGTATAACCATTCATTGTCTCCTGCATTTGTGACGGACAACTACTATGAACTTATATCAATGTTTAATTTTTCCTAAAAGACGGTTATATTGGGACAGCTCTAGTTCAGCATCATCAGCAGATATCACAGTAACTTAAGACATAAAAGGTTCTCAGTGAACAGGAAAGAGTCAGAGTTATTTTACCCAAGTCCAGCTCCAGAGAGGAACCTTCAGCTTGTGTCAAATTTGGCACCTTGTTTTGACTTATCAGGCTTTGTTTATCTTGTACTCTACACTCTTCAGTAGTGTTATTTCATCAAAAAGAAAATGAATATTTTATTTGTTAAATTGAAAACCATGTCGGTTTCAGACATTAGAAGTTGCACCATAAAAATCATAAATCTTATCAATGATGGTTCTGTTTCCTTTACTACATCATAAAAGGCATCAATACAGATTTCAGTCTTTTTCTTAAACATTAAAAAACTCCTCATAGAATCTGTAAGTTGGAGCTAGTTTTGTTTATTGAAGTAAACAAACACGGTAATCTGTTGAATTCTTACTATTTGGCTTATAAAAAATCACAGATTTAAGAACAGATGAATAAAAGCAACATCAGACTTGACGTTGGGTTTCGATACAGAATATTAGTCTGGCTGGTACGGCTAATTCTACTGCACTACCTCTTGAGAAATATTGCTTGAATAAACCTTGACCATTAAGGAAACAGTTGATGTATTGGTTTCTACAGCTTCAAGCATGTTTTAATTTTGTTCCTGGAGAGTACTGTTCTTCTGAATGTGCTTCATTTGTATTTTTTCTGCCTCTGACAAAACAAAATGATTAAACTTTTCACATCAATAACTACACTGAAAATTAAATGCGTATTGATGGAATAAATCACACCCAGAGATCATCTTAAACAATAAGTGTAGAGACTTATTGTTTACTTTAATAACACATGAATAAGTTAAGGACAAAGAAACATAATGGTTATAAGACATGGGGCATACAATGAGAGAGAGGCACGGTGTTCAAATAAAAACAACAAACAGAAGGTGAAAAATAGATGGTAGTGTATAAATAAGGTAGGACGGTTGTTAAAGTGGCTATAGGAGGTGAGAACATCCTCACACAGCGTAGGATTGAACTAAAACAGTAAAAACTCTAAATGATCTTTACAAGCATCCTGAGGCAAAACCAGCATGTTTGTGCGGTTCATTAAAAAAAGAAAAAACTTATAAAGAAGTGTAGTGCTTTTAAATAGGACACAACAAAACAACAATAAGAAAGGCTGTTGTAGCATTCAAAGTGCAAACACAAAAAAAAAGGTAAACAAAAAGGGACTGGGTAAAAGTTATGTAATGAGTAGTCAATAAACTCTTTGAAGCTCTCCCTTCAGTGCAAGGCAAACATTTAAAAGCATCTGTTTGAAATACATTTGGAGCAATTCGCTTTGATGCCAATAAATCTTCTGTAATTACATTTAAAAGAAATATAAATATTTCACAAGATTGTTTCAAAAATTAAAAATTCAATAAAGATTAAATATTCTCCCTGAAACACACAAACTCTCTGCACATGCCCCAATGAGACAAACTCAGCTCTCCCTAAGCCTTGAGGTCCTTACACACCGGGACCGATGCGAATATCTGATGTGAAATTAAAAATATTCTGAGGCGAATTTTTACACATCAAGTGTGACGCGATTTTGCGACTTTCCGGGGGGAAAAATGACGCGTTCCAGGTGGAAGCGAGAAGACTGACACAACAGCAGACTGAGTGTTTTTCAGTTCTGATTAGACACTAGTGTTGAGATGGCTGTCTGTCATGATCATAGACTGTATATAGAATGGACAGAGACTGCGTCCTTGCTGAGTGAAGCCACTCCGAGAACAGCACCCTCTGTTGATGGGCGGCAGTATAGGTCATGAATCCCGCCTCCGCCAGCAAAGCTTATGGGGCTGTGGACAAACTTTAGAAATTTATTACACAGATCATAAATTTTTCTCCCCCCTGGTTGTGATGTTGACATGTAGTTATTGTAAGACTGGTTTGTGCTCAAGTCCTCTTTTTTCTGTGAAGCTCCGTTTTTAAAAGTCATTAGGGGGTTCATGTTTTCTATGATTGACATCTGATACAGCCTATGGGCGTTCAGGGATTGTGTAGCTCATCTGGGGGATACGCTGTTTGAGCGGAGCGTCATCACAGCGACTCTCGGCTACTGGTTTCAAGAAATGAAGAAAAATCCCGGAAATACCGAGAGCTTTTTGGCTTCAAATCCGTATACAAGCGGTAGGCGGAACCAAGTTGTCCATAGTATATACAGTCTATGGTCGTGATAGCATGTACTGAGTCGGGGCCAGTACCAGATAAGCACATTAAACTATAATCCATAAATGTAAGGTAACAACCGAGACCTAATGGTGCTGTGACAGCAACGCGATTGAGTTTGAGACAGTGAAAATACATATGGTATGTTGTATCTGAACAGGTTAGCTTACGAGCTAAAGTTACTTAGCACAGATGAAAGTTAAAACAAAGACGTTTAGCAAACTGTTAAAGCACACAAACTATCCTTCAGGTCGTTATCTTTGTAATGTTTGTGTCTTTTATCAAAAAGCACTCTGTTCTCCGACACAGAAACAATCAGCCGGTCGGCCATGTTGGATATACCGGTGAATCAGACGTCACAACAACACGCAATCTGATTAGTCAGAAGTGGACACACAGTATGCCAAACTTAAGAAAAATCGACTGTGATCCACAAAAAAAAATGCCGCAATATCGCAGGACGGGAAAACGTCGCTGATGTGAACGCTTGTATTGACGGGATATGGGTTCGAAAAAAATATTGGCATCCAAAATAATCACACGAAGATAAAGGGTTCCAGTGTGAAAGGACCTTTACAAGGGGCGCCATAATTATCTGAGATTCATAAAAATACTCTCAAAATTTTCATGCATACAACACTTAGAGGATGAGGGTAAACGATTAACTATCCAATACATACTTTAGAGTCAAACAACAGTGTAAAAGGCTCTGAACTGTTTTTCTAATGCAAAGAAAAGAGTGAAGACGAATCTCTCCTCTTGTTGAATCACTAATGGACGGCGAGGTGGACTGCTATTGGGAGCACAGGTTTTTGTATGGTGTAAATGAATCTCTCAAGCCATGAAAGGAACACCACAACGCTAAACTTTTGCAAAAAGAATCAAGTCATGTGACATGATTGCACGTCTGTAACAAAGGTGGAGGTGGTAAGGCCAAGTTGGTGCATGTCAGGCAGGAGCTGAGGTGGAACAATCAAGTCCTCTCACTGCTTCATGTCGACCAATGGCAGAGTTGTCAGATGGCTGTAGGAGCAGGTGATTCATCAGCGTCATCTCTGGTCAGTTCAGTGTCCTCCTCGAGATGAACAAAGTACTGCACTCTTCTGGATCACAGGACGGTCTTATGATGTCTCAGTGCAGCTGGGTTCACAGACCTCAGTTATTCAACAATCCCCTCCTCTGGCTGTTATCTCAGTAGAAGCGCTTGCGTCTGCTCTCGCTCCAGTGGCTGTAGACCACCAGGCCGATCACGATGAGGAAGATACAGCCCAGCATGGAGAAGAGCACGGTGAAAAAAATGGCCACACCGCTCATCCCTTCTTCAGTCTGACCCACTAGAAGAGAGGAGCACAGGTAAAGAACGGGTTAAAAAAGCAGCTGAAGGAAGTGACATGAAACCCCACATTTAAGAGAGTGAGTGTGTTTGTGTCTTTACATCGGAGTAGTTCAAAGTTATCAACACTGGGTATAGTTATCTCTTCCTCCTCTTCTTCCTCTTCTTGTTTACTCCGCAGCACGGTCAGCTGGTAGAGTTTGAGGGAAATGATGTCATGGTTGTCTGTGAATTGAGCGTTATGACAGTGAGGTCAAACATATAGAAAATGACGACATATCAGAGAATAGATGCGATAAAAGGGCCACACACTTGAGTCTAAACATGTCCTTCATTTGTTCTTTGACTCAAGCAGCTAAAGCGTCTATTCTTGTTAATATACAAAATAACTCATTACCATGAATGAACTGTTAATTAAAATGAACAGTGTTTAGTGGCATCTAGTGGTGAGGAGGTAGATTGCAATCAACTTTTAAAAGGCACTCAAAGGTGTTAACCTACGATAACCAAAATGATTGTTTCCTGGGGGTGAAACATTAATAACATTAAGGAAAGGTGGAGTACAGAAGGATGTACTTTTCAAACAGCAGATCCATCAATTCATCCTAACTCTGATATAATCAAAGCGTATCCTTAACCTCACTTTACTTTATTCTCCCCTCAGGGGAAATTTGCTTTGCAGCCAGCTAGAACCATAAAACTCAGACACTTAAAGAACACACCCAAATACACAAATCACAGGGACACATCATCAAAGAATGCATTCAAGGGCAACTTAATACCATCAATAGCAATAAGTAGTTTAAATAAAATGTTTCATAAAAGATTATTTAGTTGTGTGATGACTTGAGCTGTGACAAAAAACTCCTCAGCTTGTTGAGTTTGAACGCCAGGAGTCTGGATCTCCTGACAGAGGTGATGGTTTAGCTAAATCAAGCAAATCAAAGTTGGGTTTGAAATGTCAGTGAAATGGGATGAGTTCACAAAGGTAAAACAGAGACAGCTGTTTACCTGAGAGATCTCCTGTGATGGCTGTGGCTCCAAAATAGTAGCCCTGAGGAAGCCGCACCCCCGGTATGTCGAGGCAGTCCCTCCACTCGTGCTGTCCATCAATGTCGATCATAATCTGAGGCACAGAGGCAGAAAGAGACTGACTGTCACTCTTAGAGAGGGTCCAGTGATGTCAAACTTTTCATAAAACGTGTTGGCAACAGTGACTGAAAACTAGAACCCTTTCACATCCTGAATGTGGATTATATGTGAACAGCTGTTAACAATTTGTTGAATTAGAGCAGTACGCACCAATCAATGTAATGGCAAAATGTTTTGATTCCATCTGTTTTTCCTGACTGACTGAATGTTTATCATTCTAGTGTGTGTCTGTCTGCACCAGGTTCACTTCAGGTGAGCCAAACCACCCTATTCACAAATACAGATTACATGAATGTTATCAAGTCCTACCCAGCCTCTTCAGTGCATGCAAATAAGGTTGCTCTTTGTGAGCTCCCGGTGTTATTAAAGCGACTGATAGGAGACAACAATCAGAGTCTGGGTCTCTTACCGTGAGCCTGCGGCGGATGTACCGAATGAAAAGGAAGGTGTCGTGTTTGAGGTTGCGCACCATGGCGGTGCAGCCTCCCAGCTCTGTCGGCCTGCCGTCCCGATCGTGGTCATAGCTGACGGTGCCGTTGCCGACCATGGCCAGAACGAAGGGGAAGATCCTCTTGTGGTTTGGAGAACATAAAAAATAATAATAAAGCAAAACAAAGAAATAGTTTTGATTTAAATTTTGCACTCAAAATGCCTTCAAGCCAGAACTGAGAGGTGTTGGAGTGGGTCTGGCCTTAGACCGACAAGAAATGTTGTTTTGTGATGTGAAAACACATGACAATAAAGTCAACTCATAAGAATTTATCTTCACTTTCTGCACCTGGAGAGCCGGCTCAAAGTAAAAGAAGCACTACTGTTCATCTTTAAAAGAGAGAAACAGATGAAATACAACATAAAAATAATTCTGCAGAATAACTTCATTAAGGAAATCTTTAGTTCAATTTGTCTAAGTTAACCAGTCACATAAATTCAGTAGAAGAATTCACATCCCTTTGGTTAAACCACACAACAATCATGCAGGAACAAAACAGAAAATATGGTGTATCTAAAAGGGGGTGTTTGCAGAAAGAAAAGCATGCTCAATGACCAGTGGAGGCTCCGAAGCCAGCTCATGATTGTGGTCAATTTTTTCAAAAGCTTTTTACCTGTGTGCGAGGAGTATATCTTTTCTTCTGTGCCTGTCTCCAAATAGATGCACAAAAGAACACAAAACAGCCCTTCACATAAATTTGCCAGAGCTACTGTTCATACACTCTTTCAACTCCACTTTTGTCTCCAACAACACGTGGGATCCAAGCAGCCTTACTCCAGCATACCTCTAACTGTTTCTCCTCATTGGGATACGTGTCCACAAACACGCCCAAGCCGGTGAAGTTGTCCATATTTCCAAATACAGGACCTTTGAAATAGTGAAGAAAGAAACAAAGAGTTTATAACTCACAACAATGATACTTTTAAAATGAGGAGTCAGTCTGTGTAAAGACAATTGTTTACCTTTCTGCATGCGCTCCTTAGTGTACCAGATGGCCAATCCGTCACCGTTCAGGTTCTTTTTCCCTTGCCCATGAATCTTAAAGTGCACTTGCATCTCCCAGTCCTTCAGATGGCAGGGCTGGAAACACACACAGATTACATAAAGGATGACTGATGAGAAAAATAGCTCACTTCAGATCAGGTTAGGTCAAGAGACAGACAATGGTCGCCAAATAAAGCATGAACACAGAAACTCTGGCTTACAGTGGATGTATTTAGTGTTGTGTCGTTCGTGAACGATTTGTTAAAAAGAACCAAATCTTTTAAGTGAACTACTGAACCGAATCACTTCCTCGGGTGGTTCATTTGTTTCTCACTTCAGTTAAGCTGAAGAGAGAAACAGCATTGCCAGGCCTGCAGCCGGCGAACGAGGGACCACATGCACCAATGCCTGAATCACTTGGTGAACGAATCACGCATTGAACTACACTCTTTGGAATCATTTTTGTCGGACAAAACTACCTTGTTTTTCACTTCTAAATTGCCACCACAACAACTTGCATACAATAGAGAGTCGCAGGCTTCTCCCGCTTAATGATTCAGTGATTTGGTGAAGGAATCTTTTGAACAAATCTTTTTAGTGAACTGATTCTAGTGATTCAGTGCATCTAGAAGAACTGTCGTGCCCATCACTAATTGTATTAGACTGCCCGGGTGTTCATAGTATTAGGGCCGGTCAGTGTATGAAAGTATAGATAGATAGTTTATTTTCGTGTCCTGCACATAAAGTGCCCAACCCTTATGGGTTTATAAGACACCAAATCCAGTTTACAACATGCTTTACAATACATTACATTCCATTACAACTCATAGCCATATAATGTGTTTTGTCTCGTTCCCAAGCTTGACAAATATAGTCTGCTACAATAAAGGCTCCCTTAGCGAAACAGATTTCAAGTTTTTCATAATCACCTAATTTTACGAACAAATACCTCTCTTATATCAATATATTTAGGGCAGTAAAACAAAAAGTGAACCTCATTTTCAATGTCACCTAGTTCGCAAAACATACAGTATCTCTCCTCCTCTGGAGTGGCATTAAACCTGCCTGTCTCTAGGGCTAATGGTAATGTTCCTGACCGTATTTGTGCACATAGAGATCGCTGTCTTCTGCTTAAATTATATTTCACATAAGGTTCAGCTGTGTACCTGTCCTTTATGAGACAATAAGATCACAACTTAGGTTTATACCAAATATCATTACTCCACTTTTCTTTATATCTGGAAAACACTGTATGTCTTATTTCATTTACATCACATTGTAGTTTATTTTGGAGAATAAAAAACAAACCATTAGAATAAAATAAAGATTTTAATTCGGTTGTCCAGGAGTTACGAAATCTAAAGTCCCAATTAAAAATCTTTTTTTGTGAGTCTCTGGTCAGCCATCTTCACCAGCCTGTTCCATAGCCTAATCATTTGGCATTTGTGTCTGATGCTTGGAGGTTCCCATCCCATATCACCATTAATTGCCAACACTGGAGTCAATTTATGGACTCCCAAAAAGGATCTGATAGCTCTATGATGCACAGCGTTACAACTTGAATATTCTCTGGAACCCCAAACACCAGAAGCATAATCAGACACTGGACATACCCCTGATTCATAGAGTTGTGTAAAGGTGTTGAATCCTAAATGACCACAGTGGTTCACTTTATTCACGACAGACCCCAGTGCCCTACCCGCTGACTGAGCTAAGGTGCTAACAGCATCATTACATGTCATATGCTCGTCTAATGTCAGTCCAAGATATTTATACTGATCAGTATATGACAACATTATTGACCCAAAATTAAATAAACTAAACTTCTTTGTAGTGATTTTGGTCTGAAGTGTACTATTTGGGTTTTTTCCTGGTTTGCCTCTAGTCTCCATTTCCAGCACCATTCTGCAGCAATGTCAAGCATTAACTGCAGATCACTTTCATGTTCAGCCAGTAAGACGAGGTCCTCCGCGTATAGCAATAAAGCTACATTTTGATCGTCAACTGTAATTCCCGAGCCAGAAGCTTTAATTTGAAGGGCTAGATCATTAACATAAACTGCAAACAAAGTTGGATATAAAATATCTCCTTGCTTCACCCCAAAATGCTGAGGGAACCATCTAGTTCTGTCATCATTCATCTGAACATAGGCAGCCAGTGCTTGGTAAAGAGACTTGATGGCATTATAAAATGTTCCATTTACAGCTGATTTTAACAATCTATACTGTAGAAAGTCCCTATAAATCCAATCAAAAGCTTTAGTGAAATCAATAAAACAAGCAAAAGTAGATTTATTCTGCTTGATTCTTGCATGAATAATAGTGGAGACAACATATATGAGATCAATACTCCTATACTCACAATCCGGCTCCAGACTGCCCCCTGTCTGCTCTGCATATCAGGTGTGAGGCGCACCTGGTCGGTGGTTACCATGGAATCTCCCATCAGCTCCCAGTGGGAGGAACCCAAGGATCCCACACCTGAGTACACAAATAACACACCATTATTATAATGATGACAAAAGCTGACACAACACAATGGAGTCTGTTGAAATAGACGACAAAACAGCCTCCAGCTTCATGACAAAATAAAGGAGCAGGTGCAAAAGGAGGACAAATTCAGGGGCAAACACTTCACACATAATGATCTAGTCTGTTATAGTCAGTGTATGACTGCTCAGCTTATAGGCTGATTATATTAAACTAAAGGTTTGTAAGCAGAGGGTTACAGCAGCAGCGTCCACTTCAAGATCTAATGATAGTAAAACAAATCTGAACATTTCGATAAGGTTTGCTGGTTGTGATTTGAGGTCTTTCCGAGATTTTCTAGAAACATCTCCCCTCCCCACTGAAGATAAACGCATAACGGTTACCTTGGTAAGGCTTGGATAGAGAGAACTCCCGCTTCAAAAACTCTTCCATTTCATGGTCGTCTTCAGCAAAACACAGCTTTGCTATACAAACAAGAAAAGCGAGGGTCCAGTAGGATTTAAAAGGCATTGTTTTTCGTCTGAATGGTGATTTAGCTTCCCTGTAATGACAGCTCCTGCTGACGGCAGCCATTGTGGGACAAAATTCATTCTGCTAAATCGTCTGCTTCCTTACCATTGGCTGACTGTATTGCATGGCTCTTCGCTATTGGTCTGATTGATTGTCAATCAGTGAGCACGCTTTCTATTGGATATTTTATTAACTTAACCGTAATAGTGACTAAATGAATTGGGTTTTTTTAAAATAAGTATTTTATCTAACTTCAGGGCTGCAGTTATGGCGGGAGTTATGAGCTTAACCAGGCACTTGATAATCCAAACCCAACAAAACAAACATGTTTTGGGTCCTCAGACATTTAAATGCCAAACTGAACATCGATTTATTGATTAAATCTCTCTCTCTTCCTCCTCCACTACATCCTCCTCCTACTACTACCACTCCTATTGCTGCTACCTCTACTGCTGCTGCTACTACTACTACTACTACTTCTACCACTACTACTGCTACTACTTATGGGTGTCTTTTCCATGACATTTATCACATTCTTAGGGTTTATGGTATATGCACAGCAACAGCAACGTAAAGCTCTAGATCTGTTTTTAGACTTTTTTTTTTCATCAGTTGAAAGTTTCATATCTAATAACTGTTTATTAACATTCATAAGCAGGGTTAAAACTGTAGCCTATAATGAGTGGGTGAATATGTGTTTATGCATGGTGAACTAGTTGTATAATCATATGTTGATTTGCAATAAAATTCACTCAAGTTAATGTTGGTTCTGGAGAAATGCTGTAGTTAAAGATCGAGAATATGTTTTTTCCCCACGTTCTTGAAATAGATGTTTAATGTGCAGTTCATCTTGGTATACTTAGTTTCCTCGTCTTAATAACTAAACAATAATAATAATTTTTCACAATTAAATTTGGTAGCAATCGTTATCATCTTGTAATTTTTGACTATCATGGTGGAAAAGTGTCTTTTACACGTGTTTACCTGTATGACAGAGCAACTTTCAGTGGCACAGGCCAATACAGCTGACACAAAAACTACTCCAATAAAAATGCTAATGAAGATGCACACATGCAGTGGAGTTTTGATGTACCTTGAAGTTGTTATAACATTTGACCTTACAGATAAGAGAATGCTAAGACTGTTTTTGGCTTGGTTTTATTACAACAGTTTGTTGACGAAAATAATAATTTTACTACAACTTTATTCTTTACGACGGAATATTAGGACCACACTGAAAAAATAAATAAAGACTTTGAATTAAGACTTTTCTCGTAAGTAATGATTTTATTACGACTAAATTCTCGTTAGAAATTGCTTTATTCCAACTTTATTCTCATAAGTAATGATTTTATTACAACTATATTCTCAAAAGTAATTACTTTATTATGACTATATTCTTGTAAGTAATGATTTTATCACGACTATATTCTTGTAAGTAATTACTTTTTTACAACTTTGTTCTAGTAAAAAAATGATTTTATCACAACTTTATTCTTGTAATTACTTTATTACGACTTTATTCTTATTAGTTATTATTTTATTCTCGTAATTTAATGACTTTAATCTCGAAGTTTTAATTTTTTTTCTTAATGTGGCCCTAATACTCCGTCATACTCATAAGACAATGAACCAATAAATCCCTTCAAAATTTTCAAATAAATAAATAAAATCTGGCCCTCATACTCTGTTGTATCGATGCCAAAGGAAAATAATGGCGCGTTTGGCCTTCCATACCATAAACTAAATGACGCTTGAAAACCACATGAATGTTGAGCCGTAGCCACGCCCCCTTCACCTCCTCTCAGCTCTGCTACATTTCTCATACCACCGGTGTAGTGACAGGGGGATGGAGTAACACTGCAGGAAGGACGGTATGGATCCCATTGAAGAAAAATCGAGCAAAACTGTCGACATTTATCGTGACACATGGGTCCGCTTCCTGGGTATGTATTCTACTTTCCATTTGTGTTGGTTCGCTGTTAGTTTTTACCGTCAACGCGCTGAATGAAGATCGAGAAGTTGACATAACACTGAAGTCGTTTTGACCCTGGAGACGTACGCTAGCTTGCTGAAGGTTAGCATAGCTGGCTAACCCCCGACTGTTAAACATCTATTTTTAGCCAACTTGGCTCTTAGGGGTCATTTAGTTGTCTCCGGGCGTAATGGACGACAGCCAAGACGAGATAATGCCGTTGTTGGTGCTTTGTTTCCATCCCGTCTTAAAGGTGAGTGTTAGGTTTGGCGCCGCGGCTCGGTGTTGTCCCATTACAGGCAGTTGTTAAGCAAGTTGAGGCAGTGACTCAGAAGCACGAAGAAACGCCCGTGTGTAATACCACACCAACAAACACAGTCTATGTGGAGGGTTTATCTTTCTGTCAGAGTGTGCTTTTATTGTTGAAACTACTCAGGTCCGACCATTTCTAACAGTGCAAACTCAGTGTTTGTGTTCAGGAGGAGAAGGCTGAAGGGCATTCACACTGCTGCATTCACCTGGTGTAATAACCTTAAATGACCCCTCTGTCTCCGTTTGAAGGGATATTCCAGAATAAAATTGATAAAGGGTCAAACACACCGTAACACCGAGTTAGACACCCCCTCAAGAGATGAATGTTGCTGACCGCTTGCTTCTCTAGTTATACCAACTTAAGTCACGACCGCACGATAGCAATACACAGTAGTCTGAGGAGCCACACACAAACCTCAACCAAAACGCCACTCTATAGCCACAAATAATGCTCAGAACAGCACCTAACTTCATCAACAGCACATACAGGGTCCCAGCTACCAAACATCTTTTTAACTTTGCCTAAATTCTTTAGGAAAGAGACTAAAGACAACTCACCTTCTCTCTTCCAGCAGCCGCTTGTTTGTAGCGAGACCTCAGGCCAGTTCGTTATGGACTACTGTGGGGTGACGCAGCTCAAGGAAGAACATTCATGATCTTTTCTTCATGGAAATGCAATCAGACCGAGTTGCTAAGGCAGAAGAACTACCATGTCTGCAGTGCAAAATGATTAATATGGTGATTATTACTTCAAGGAAGTGATAATGTAATGATCAATCAATCAATAACTTTATTTGTCCCCCAATGGGGCAATTGGTTGTGCAACAAAGGGAGCATAAAAAACATGTAGGCACAATAATCAAAATCAAGAAAAAAACGACTAGAAAAACATAAAATTGAAAAGACAAATAATCAAAACACTACAAGCAGGTACCTTTTCCTCCATGAATCGAGAAGGGAGATGGCAGAAGGTATGAAGGAATGTTTATATTAGTTTTAGCAAGAGGAACTCTGATCAATGAACCAGATGGAAGAAACTGAAACTGATCATGTAGAGGATGGGAACCGCCAGACAGGATGGACTTTGCTTTCTTGTACAGCTGTTTGTTATAAAGTAATGATCATAAATGTTCTTCCTTGAGCTGCGTCACCCCGCTGCAGTCTGTAAAGGACTGGCCCGAGGTCTCATTACACACAAGCGGCTGCTGGAAGAGAGTGAGTGAGTTGTGTTTAGTCTCTTTGCTAATGAAATTAGGCAAAGTTAAAAAGGTGTTTGGTGGCTAGGACCCTATATGTACTGTTGATGAAGTTAGGTGCTGTTCTGATCATTATTTGTGGCTATAGAGTGGCGGTTTGGTTGAGGTTTGTCTATGGCTCCTCAGACCGCTGTGTATTGCTATCGTGTGGTCGTTACTAAAGTTGGTGTAAATAGAGAAGCAAGCGGTCGGCGACATTCATCTCTCCAGGGGGTGTCTAACCCGTTGCTAAGGTGTGTTTGACCCTAAATTAATTTTGACCCTCAATTAATTTTACGCAGGAATATCCCTTTAAGATGAGCGGAAGTTTCACCAAACTCTGAATACTGCTATTCAGATCATAACGCGTTAACTTAAACAGTAACAGATCACAATGAGAGTTATTTTAAGATGTTTTCCATCTGCTCTGAAAGTCCTAAGTCGTCTTACACAGTGAGCAAAGGGCCGTCTACACTTCATTGTTAAAGCAGCATGGCTAATCTGGACTATCACAGTGAGCTGCTAATCGTCTTGTTCTCCAGATCAACAGAAAACTATCCTGTTAGTTTAGGACAAACATTGTTATCCTGGGATAATGACATAATGCTTGTCCTGGTCATCTCAGGACAACAGTCAAACACCTAGAATGAGTAAAATATGCCTTCTATCAGGCAGAAATTACGGGCAGAACCTGACTGGTTGGCGAACATCCCTCTGCCTCAGCTGACTTAAATCAGGTGGGTTTGAAAACAGATGAAAAAGCCTCTGTCCCTATTAAAAATCAAATTCAGAATTGGTAGCACCATAAACTTTGTTGAACGCTTATAGCAAATGTTAAATAAATATCAATATCTCATACAGGACTAAACAGTTACACCACACCATTATGTGACATCTTGAAACTGTAGGCAGACGAATTTTAACAAAAATTAAATGAACTTGGAGTGAAAGAAAAACCAGGAGCTGATCTGAAGTAGCACACTTTGTAATCGGTCTGCCCCTATCAGATATCCTGACGTGTCATTTGAGGATTGTCTTTTGATCATGGCAGATAGTACCTTCCTTTTTATATGACCATTTGCCAGGGATGAATATCTTTCCCAGCCTAGGATTTTTCTCAACTATTTTGTCTGGAAAAGATTATTTTTAACGGCGTCGGTGCAAGTATGATGGTGGAATGTTTTCTAACACTGACTTTTCCAACAACTTAACCTAATGCATGAGGGGAATTTTCAGTTCAATGTTTGATCGACAATATGACGGACAGAAAAGAGTTGGCTGATGCTCCTGTAGTGCACAGTTTGTAATATCTCAGGTCTCATTTAAAACTAACATTTGGTTCATCAAAGTAGGAGCTCATTCAGCTGTAAATGAGACACTTTTTGCTCAGCAGAAAAACTATCTTGTTCTATATTTCATCTCATTTATCTCTCATCTTTATTCTTGCATGCGTGTTCATTCTTTATCTCATCTGTTCCTCCCTCAACATCTGGCGGACACACATTCTGTCTCTGCAACACACCAGAAACACACAAGGACTGACTGACTAAGTGTAATCTGAGGCCTTTGCTCATAGGTCACAGTTGAGCTCCAGTCTGTGTTGACGGCTTACTTTATTATGAACTAAACACCTCGCTGAAAGATAATCTAATCTCCTCTTTTCTCATGATCGTGTTCACATTAACCAGCACGGCTCTTATCACTTTCTGCACACGTGTTTGTCTGGAGCTCCTGATCCAGTAGCAGCCTGACAGTCATTTTCACTGCTGCGGATTGACCAGCTCTCAATCAGCAGGAAAAATCAAGATCAAGTTTGAATCTGAGAGATTGTATGATAAAAACATGACTCTCATTTCCTCTATCAGACACGCTCTTTCTTGATTTGGTTGCTGGGTGTTGTGCAAACTGCAAAAGTATGCACAACTACACTAACTCAGGTCTTGAACTCCAAGCATGAATTGAATATCCTCAAGTATCCCGCCTCTTCTGCCGTCACAACGCCTTTGCACTTCCACACTGAACTCCACAGCTGTGTAATACTTGTGTCCCAGGGTGTGATTTTCACATTGTATTACATCACTGTGAAAGTGTGAGATGCATGGCATGTGAACAACAGGCGTTCACATTTGGACACACTTTGCACTGCTGTGCCTCGACTTATTGGTACTGTCTTCCCCAATTACACCTCTTACACTCCCTCCAAAGTGGGTCAGAGGCAGAACAGCTTCACCCCACTTTGTTTTACCCCTATCTGTGTCTTATGAATATCCTGTCTCGAACTAGCTGTTTGCAAGAGCGGCTGATGTCTTTCTAGGTTGAAGTTGTGTGAGTGGGTGGAGTAAATAACCATTGTTGGGATGTTTCTAAATTCTATAAACAGTTAATGAAAATGATCAGACTCCAGAGGGTTTCAGGAATGCTAAGAGACAATTGAAAAAAAACACGAAACACAGCTGTTATGTGACTTCCGCTTTTGCTGAAGCTGCGGAAACATGATTCACTCCTGCTTCTCCTCCTCAAAGCTGACTGCAAATAAAAAGAAATTCATGTTTAGAGTCAGCCGTCACTGAAGCAGAGAGAAAACAGCCTTTGAGTGTGAAATTGATCTGTGTGAACATGAATTCAGGTGATGTCCTTGTAAGAGGTCAAAGGATTTTGAAGCATTCGACCTTTTTTAAATTGGGTGTTGCGTAATTTTCTTAATCTTGCTTTCTGTTTTAACAGCGTCAGAGATGAGACTGAAGTGTAACAACCTCAGTAACCGACTCAGTCCACTTCCTCTTTGCTCAAAATGCCACCAGACTTCATTTGATCTGGCACCACTCCAGTTCTCTTTTGTAGACCTGCGCTGGGTTGTATCTACTCTTCTAATTTAGGACAGAGTTGATACACTAATAAATTTTTAGGGTTTGCACCAGCTGAGCCAAATCCAATGTCGACATAAAATATAATGACTGCAGTCTCACACCTGACTCTAATTTGGTTTAAAATCTGTCATAAAACATCAGCTTTCTTGAAAGACGAGGACTTGTGGGTTTCTCTGGTTGTCATGGCGATGTGATTTCCTTTTGGAGTACATCCTTAGAAAACAATATGATGACTCCCACTGAGATTTCCCATAAGTGGACATATTTTAATCTGCACGGGAAAAAGAAAAGCATCATATCAAAGTTTGTTGTTGTTGTTTGAAATGTCAACACTCACTCTGGATATGAGCTCGCAGTGGATAAATTATGAACATCATAATGCTTTTCAGGTTTTGCATACTATTTTTTGGTCGATTAATGGAAGTTATTTTTAGCAGTTAGAGAAAACAATGCAACAAACTCAAACTCAAGAATTTAATCTGTATTAATTTATCTGTCTGGATGTATTAAGAGGTCAAAGTCCTGTCTGAATTTCTGTATGTTTGCCCGACAGGTTACGCCAATGAGGTCGGAGAAGCTTTTCGAGCTCTGGTGCCGGTGAGTTTGGTGTGGGGCAGCTATGCCGTAGCCACTGCGTACGTCACTGCCGATGCTGTGGACAAAGGGAAGAAGGCAGCTGTGGTGAGTCTACGAATTTCTGTGTTACGCAACAAAAAAAAGCAGATAAAGAACACGGGGTCAAGCTCGTCTTGTTTTCTGATGCTACAAGGGATTAGGAGATTAATCTGACAGGACAGGCGATGCATTAACAGAAAAATAAAAAAATAGAAACTCATTGTTTTGGTCATTTTTAGGCTGTCTTTCAACCTTTTTGTTGTGTAAATTTGTGTTAAACTTCATTGCCTCGAGAAGCTAGATTAAAATGTAGTCATCTGAAGACTGAAAAAGGCGGAAAAACAAACAAACAAACTGACAAAAGCAGACATAGTTTTGTTTACAGTCATGACAGCCCAAAAAGCTTTCGTACCACTGTGTAGAGCCTTTTGATGAAGTATAAGAGTAAAGACTGTAGTTTCAGGTCTAAATCATAAACGAATCACGACATTGTTTTGTGTATCCAGTGTTTTTGGACACACTGATTAAGACAGCTGCAGCCACTCTCATTCTCTGATCCTCCATCTGTTCCTCAAGGCCCACGGGGACAACCCAGGGAGGACAACACGGGTAGCGGTGGCTGTGGTGGACACGTTCGTGTGGCAGGCCCTGGCCTCTGTGATAATCCCAGGCTTCACCATCAACCGCGTGTGCGCTGCGTCTCTGTACATGCTGGGGAAAAGCACCAAATGGCCTCTGCCTGTGCGCAAGTGGACCACCACAGCGATAGGCCTCTCCACAATCCCTTTCATCATCACTCCTATTGACAGGTTGGTGCGAGCGTTCGGATCTTTGGATGCATGTAGTTTATGTAACCATGCTGTTACATAAGGTTTGATTTTGTGCTCAGGCTGCAGGTTTATCTGCACTTGCTGCTGGGTGCAGAATGAGTGCAAACAGCTTTGTTCAACACAGATAAAGTCTTATCTTACGTGTTCTGCAGGTCTTTGATTTTATTATGTTGAATACATATTATTTTAAAAATTCAACTTACAAGTGCAAGTACAAGTGCTTTTTCTTTTTAGAGATGAAGTGCATTGTTTATATGTTTCAAAGACATTTATTAATCCTGGATGTAGATATATACTGCTACGTTTCCAACATCACAATGTTTTCCTCTTCTGTCCGTCTCAGGTCTGTGGATTTCCTGCTGGATTCGAGCCTTCGGAAGATCTACAGTGCGGAGGAGGAGGAGAAGCACAAATAAGAAGGGACCATGCAGGACAAAGTGCCCCCTCTAAGGTGGAGACGAGTCAGAGTAACCCTGCGATGAGTATCCAACGCTGTGACGCACTAAGATAACTTGAAGAAGGATTTCACAGTGTGACTCTACTGTTAGTTAAGATAGATTTGATAAAAACGGTTTTATTTTCAAGTTAATCGATTCTTAAAGGTAAGTTAAAATGATACGGGTGAAATCCCTCTCGACTGAGGATGGTTAACTTGAACCTCACAGGGAATCCAAGGAACCAAGAGTTCCAATCGGGAATAAAAAGTGTTTAGATGTTTATGTATTACACTGCATACAGTGAAAACCTGCTTGTTGAAGCACCCTTCAGAAGGGATACTGTGTGCTGTTGTGGGCTGTGGCTCACCTCATGTCTACATGAAAAGGAGAGTGAACGCAAACCTGCTCCTGTTGTTTTTCAGCCATCAGCGGTACTGTGATTATAAAAGCCATTACGACCTTCTTATACATTGTGAAAGATACATTTTTAGGTGAGTCTATTTTTTTCTGGGAAACAAAGATGTCTGTTACTTGGAACAAAAGTTTCAAGAGATGCACTTTTCTATTCTTCATTCTACTTTATCGTTTTACATGGGAGCTAAGGTTCTGTCACACTATGGTTACTTATATGGTTTACGGTTCTATTACACTTTCGAAACACTTCCTACTTTTATCTCAGTTTTATTCTCCAGTCTGAAAATGTAAAATATTCAAGTATTTACTGTTAAAAACGGTCTTCCCTGCATCCGGAGACCAGCTGCTCTGACTCCACTGAGCTGTACACGAATCTAGGATGGCTTTAGTTACACTGCAAAAAAAGAAAACCCATGGCTGAACACTTTGACTTTCTAACTAAGGTGAAGAGGTTATAGATTTTAATTGTTTTCTCTGTAAGATTTGGAAATTAATATAACACCTATGCAGAAAAAGGGGATTTTTTTTTATTATACTGTATTTATCATGTGAGCAGCCATATTACACTCTGTATCTCTATGCAAGGGAGACAAGTTATGTAACTAAAGGGATTGTTCTTTCCCTTTATAAATAAGATTTGATGTGCTGTATTAAAATGTTGTAATGTCAGTAGGGAAATCTGATGTAGCCTGAAATTTGGATGAGCTGTCACAGAGACAAAGAGGTACCTGCTGTATCAGGAACGGTTATCGTTGCCAGTCATTGTCTCTGTACTCACAAACGTACCATTGTAGCTGATGTTAAAGTGTATTTATGTCACACTACAGTGTAGTCTCTTTGCTGTGAAAGGAACTGTATCATTCACTTCGTCACAGAGGGGAAGGGGAGTGTGAAAATGAGTAATAAGTTCCAGGTTCCAGGCCCTCATGTACGCACAAGTTTTCACTCACGCAAGCACAAAGCTTCTAAGGCTTCAGACGTCTTTCATGTCAGACTAAAGGTGCCAAAGTCATGAATCTACACAATGAAACATGGCTGGTATTTGTTGTGCATTGTAACATGGCCCTGGAACCTCCACACTTTGATATAATGTACCCCTAATAAATGTTCTGTATTAACACATCTACCATGTTAAAAAGTTGACTTGGGAAAAACAGTATATTGATGCCAGTTTAGAGATAATCTATATTCATACTCAGCTGTAACATTTCATATTGTACACAGAAACTCTGTATTTTTGTTGTAGTTTACTGCAAATGTAAAGGACTGGTTTACTTTTCCAAACATTTTCGACATGCTTTATTTATGTCAGTGTGTTTGGATTCGGGATTTATGGGTCACATTTTCAGCCTTAACCGGGAAAAACTTTGTTTCGTTAACAGTTATTTGCAAGGTGAAGATATTTTTTCAAATGTGAAAGCTACCATTGGAAGCTGACGCTCCACCAGTTCTTCAGCACTCTGTATGTTCTGTAAAAACATCTGAAACACTGGAGAAAAAAAATAGAATATGTTTATTCGCAGTGAAATAAATAATGTAGAGACAAGTATGGCTGAATTTTCTTTCAAATATTACAAATCACACTATTAAATACAACCCCTATTAATTTATCATGTCTGCTATCAAGTTCTTGCAAAGATGATTGTCTGTTTTTGGTGTTTCTGTTATCTTTTACGACAAAATTTTGAACAAGAGATGCAGTAAAACTACTTCTAAGTAAGTAAGAATTACCTCAGTGTAGTCGGACACTTTTTGGTAAAAACATTGTATTTTCTTGAAAGTGTCCTCTTCCTCTCTAAAACCTATTACTCATCGGCCCTTTTGAATGAAAGCAGTGCAACTCATCAACTCAAGAAGTCTGCTCTTTGACAAAGTATGAAAAAAAATAAAAAGGTGTTCCCCAAGGCTCAATATTAGGCCCACTGATTTTTAGTCTTTTTATTAATGATCTGCTATGGGGGTCGCGAGTCTGTAGGCTGATTGTCAGCTATATGCTGATGATACAGTATTATATGATTTAGCAAAGACACCCAATGAAATAGCAGAAAGATTATAACTGAGTTTGTATGGAGTACGTAGGTGGTTCTATAAAATTAAGCTCACTTTGAACATGAGAGACAATTTCCATGTGATTTTTCCATTAAAAAAAACGATGTAACCAGGAAAAGGAATCGAAATGGTACATGAATTTAAAATTTGAGGTGTAAGTCTCGGCTCCAAGCTCACATTTGATGAAAGAAATACAAAAAAGATGACTAAAATAGTAAGAAAAACAATCTAAATTGCTTCAGATTGGTAAGGCACTATACACCAACCAAAGCACTACAGTTGCACATGCATGTTATGATGTGTATGTCATGTCCTAAACCATAATAAAGCCTGTTGCATCTTTGTATAACCGGGCCTTTAAAATGAGAATTTATTGATCCCAAGGGGAATTTATGCCTAAATTTCCCTTGGGATCAATAAAGTATCTATTTACCTCTATCTGTTTTAAATAATGAAGATGGCATCACTGTCACATACCTAAGCATTATGAAAATGTCTTGTTTGTATGTATTATTTGCTCAGCTTTGACAGCTATTAAAATTTGCATCCCTGAAACTGTTTTTTAAATTCTTTCAAAACTTTGCGCTAGAGATTTTACGCAGATTTAAATGGAGGCACTCAGAGGGATCTGAGAGCCTGGTTGTAGTCTTCATTAAGCCGAGAGGCCACAGCTGAAGCCAATTCTGTAGATGAAGCGAGCACATAAAAAGACCAAGAAAACCCCGAGCTCTGGAAGCTGCAGCCATGTTTGTTCTTAATCTGGTGTTCTTGACTCTTCTGGCCTCATCAGCTGCTCAACCAGGTACGACTGAAAGAAAGAAAGAAAGAAAGAAAGAAAGAAAGAAAGAAAGAAAATGTTCATTTATTTAATTTGCCTTTTTTTCTCTCTTGCTGCATTTCTGTTCTATATTTCCAGAATTAACTCAATATGCCCAGAACCAGTGGATTATCCATGATGATAATCTACATTATGAAGACACAGATGTAGAGTCTTGGGCAGTTGAGGATGTTTGGCCAAACAGCTCTACAGAACTACATGAAGAGTGGACGACAAAGGACCAGAAGAAGCTGCTGACCAACCCACAATCATACGCTCTTGAAGAACAAGGCAAGCATCTTAAAACTGTCCTCATAAAACCAGCTCCAGATTTAATTTACTGTTATTATTTTTTATTTCTTGTCAGATTTCGATGAAGTAGAAGACTCGGCTGTGTGGAAAATCGTCGTGGTTGTCGGAGTCCTACTGGTGTCTGTGGTGGGATCTGTGAGCATGGCTTATTATTACTGTGTCTGGAGAGGAGGCAGGATTCACTATCAGCCTCAGAAACAAATTTACGCTTGAAATAAAGTGAAATTTGAGTAAAATCTTTTTGACTAGATGTCTTTTTTAAAAATAAGTTCATGGAGCGCAAGTACAGCTGATGTGTAAATCTAATATGGGGAACTTCTTAAACTCTGATTTTCTTCCTTTTCACTAATAAATCCTGATGGTTCAGTTCATCATTCGTGTTTTCTAATGATGGCTGTCAGTGATGGAAAAGCTAAAAGCTCAGCTTGTGAGAATCAATCCATTTAACACAAGTCCTTGACATTTTTCATCATGGCCACTAGAGGTCAGCACTAGCATGGTGTTTGTGTAGTGCTGCTTTTTAAACACCCCACTATGTCATCCAGAGCTGCACCTGTATACACTTGTTGAAGTTGGTTGATGCTGAAACATATTTGTAATTTTTACTTGTAGCTCAAAATCCTGATTTTTGGTTTAGGTGCCTTGTGATGGTTAAATTTGAGATCATGAATTGATAATAAAAGACATGTTGAAAAATAGTTTTTATATTAATATTCAAAGTATAGTTAGTGGAGCTCATGCATGCATATTTCATGTTTTAAATCGACATGCATTGAGATTGCACAGTTGTATATATCACTCATTATGTGAATAGCCTTTAGCAGGGATATGCTAACAGGCCCGGGGGTGTCTGCAGTGTTTGTGCCTTGAATTAAAATGTAAATAACCCTCAGCAGCACTGATTTAGCTTCTCTATTAAATGATTTTCCTCTGAAACATCTACAGGACTTTGTATTTTCTCCATAACCTCCAGTCCAAATATCACCAGAGCTCTTTCCAGAGTGTAAACTCGAGTTTGTTATTGTTCGCTGCCGTTGGCCAACATTTCCTCCCTTTGTAGGAATTAATCTAGATCAGAATTATGGCAGATTTGGCAGGAAGGCTGTAAGCAAAAACAGCTCTCTGCTACAAGTAGAGGGTAATGTTTTAATTCAGTGTCAAGCAAGCAGGCTCGGATCAAATCCGCAAACATTTATAAGTCCCCCTTGAGCAATATCAGGTGGCATTAGGGGGCCCGCGGAGACAAAAAGCTGATGAATTGAATTAATCTCCCCTCCTGTGATGGATGGGCCTGTTCACAGGGGGCTGGAAAATGGGAGCATTGTTCATCTGTCACTCAGATTGCCATGTCCCTCTATGATTTGTGCTCGGGTTGTGAAGGCCACAAGTAGCCAAAAGACCTCCCTCTCTCCCTCTCACTCATCTCACTGCTTTTTTTTCATGAGTTCCCAGCCTTTCAATTGCCTCCTCCACCCCCACAACTCACACTGATATCCATACAGCCAGGAGCAGAAAAACAAGCCTTTACACGGGACAGGCAAACATAAATATACGTCAGTCCTGCTGCGTTTTCTATACAGCTGAAATGTGTACAGCTCAGACAGAAAATCACTGAACTACTGCACACAGAACCAAGTCAAATCAAAAGAAATGTAAATAATTAAAACACATAGCAGCATGTAATTTCAACATTTAAATGTTTTCCACAATATGATTGGATCAGGTTGTGCTTTCTGTACTCAGTTACGTCTTGAAGACAGGAAAAGAGATTTCATGTCCTTCATTTCTTAACAAAATGTCTGTTTAAACCTCTTTTCTTGCTTGAACTTAACAACTCCATATAAGTACAAAGTGCTTGACCTCCAAACAGCAGCTCTCTTTTGAGTTTCCTTGTTTGGGTTTCCAGACTTCTAAAGAAATTAATATTTTGATCCTGCATCATGGCTGATGTTGTGTTCAGATTGAGAGGTTTACATCTAAAGCCTTCATACTTATTGATATTTCACCAGAATGAATTCATGAAGTCCTGTGATGGTGATGATAAACTTGCCTATGTGTGTTAGTTTGGTGGAGGTTTTTGGCGCTGAGTCTGAAGTCGTTTGCCTTTCACCTCTATGATGGTGCTGAGGGAGATTCAGCAGAGCTCTGATTTCTTAATTGTGTTTGTTTGATGAGTGGATTATAAACTGAGATCAGCATCAGGTGAATTGGGGGTGAAGTAGATGCTTTGGTAAATGGATACTATGAGTAAGTGTTGCTACTTAACCAGTGTGGCTCTGGGTGGTGGTCTTGGGGAAGCTTCCAACTTTTAGGACCTCTGCTCAGCCATCATGGACAGACAAAACTACCCACTGAGCTTTTTTGGTCTGAAAAAAGTCTAATAGATGTCTAAATATAGCCTAGACAAATGGTCTTAAATCAGGCTACAGGTCTAAAAATGAAAGTTTTTTAGACGTCTAAATTTAGACCAAGTTTAGACCAAGTTTAAATCTGGGCTATATCTATACTACACTGTATATTGCTCAACGGCTATCATTATTATCTCGGTTAAGTACTTGGCGATCAGTTATGCAACTCACAGTTGCTTTTTGAAATAAAAGTTATCGAATAACGGGTTAAAGTGCAACGTCTAAATTCAGTCTAAAAATATACAGAATCTAGACGGTTGAAATCAGGTCTAAAAAAAACTAGATGTCTAATAACCGTCTATTGCTCAGTGGGTAAATACTTCACAATGCCTGTGGATTCTGAATGGCAGTAAACAACTGAACACCTCTGCTGGAGCTCCCGTGAGGAATTGTCAGTTTGTGGCAATTTTAGCGCCCCCCTGTGGACAAAGCAGTCTTTAATTAATCTCAGTCATTAATTAATCTTAATTAATACTTCAAAATAGTTTAACATCACTGAAATGTGTACTGTCGCTTTAAGAACACTCTGAATTAACTGTCTGTTTTGACACTGGAACCAAGTTTGCAATTTAAATGATGCAGGAACAGAAACTTATCAAAAATAGTCAAACATCAATAATAACGATTTTAGGATGTGAGCAGTAAACTGACTGTAAGATGATGTTAATATTTTTATTTGGTTGCAGCTGAGCTTCGAACTTCTGACACTTAAGTACTCAACTATTTTTAAAGAGACAGTTGCTGAAATGAGGAGCTACAGAGAAAGGTTGATGTGGGGGTTGAGCAAAAGGATGCCAAAGGCCAGAAGCTGTTTGCATGCTCACTAACTTGCTAATGTCTATATTCGTAAACGGATCTAAGCTTGAAAGCATACTACAATGCAGGCTGACTTAAATATATGAAGTTTTGAAGGCAGTTTGAAATGAACCTTTGTGTTAAAAAATACTAAAACTTTGACCTGGAGGAAAATCAAGGCGGCAGAGTCATTAGTACAACCACATAGCGAGGCTAGAGTCAAACCTGAAGATTTGCCAAAGCTATGTGATCGGGACTCAGGCTGTCGATGCTGAGATATCGCAGGATATGTGAAACTTTTAACTTCTAGTGCTGAGGAGGTTGACTTCTTCTTGGCACCGTTTCAGAGCAGCTTCATGGCATTTTTCCAATGGTTGCTGGAATATTTCAGTCTGGACCAAAGTGCGGACTGACCAAAAGACTCACATGAAGATCCCTTGAGCCACTAGGATTGATGAAAATCATTAAAAAAACAAACACCCCTGCATCAGTAACCAGATATCATTTCATCTGACCTTTGACTCTTTGACTTTGTTCTGTCATTTGACTCCCACGTTCAGAGCTGACTGAACCAAATCTTTCCCCTGAGCTAACAGAAACTACAAGGATCAGACCTCATGGCCAGTGGGCCATCATTTTACTACGGTACAAGAGCTGTTACTGTTTGCTCCTGCTACTCTCTCTCTGTTCCTCCCTCCTCTGCACACATGCACACACATGACTCCCAGTGCCCCCCCTTCAGTGAAGGACCATGTTTGTGGAAAGGCCACTTTAAGGGCACTAACCGAAATGTTTGACGCTCCTTTGAACGATTTATTGAGGTCAGCAGAAGGCTACGTTTTGAGAAAGAGAGGAGGGTGCTATGTTTGGATTGATTTCCATGAATGATTCTATGCTGTGAGCAAAAGAGAAACAAAAGACAATCAGGGCACATCAAATCACGCCACAAAAGAAATGAGGGAAGGCGATGTAAAAAATGAAGGGCAAGGCCAGAGCTGTGTCACTGCGCATTAGAGTAATAAATATCAGTTTCTGTCTCTAAATTGTGTGGACAAAAAGCATGGAGAATTCTGCCGGATTATGCTTTTATGTTGACGTTCTTTATTCTGGGAGCGGGCAAAATTAGCATATCATTGCTACTGTAGTAAGTATTATTTCTGCAAAGGCTTGTTAGCAGAATAATGAAAATTTAAAAAGACAGTAAAACAATTCAAAACAACAAGACACACCAGAAGTGGAATAAGTTCATGTAAATAACGTTATTACAATTATGACTAACAAAAATGATTTAAAAAAAACTGTGCTTCCAATGTGATTCTGCAAACTTCAAAAGCTCATGCCTCAGCAGCAGGGGTGCCATTACACTTTTTGACAAAGGTGGCACATGCCTAGAGTTGGGGGGGGCCGAGAAAGTGAAATACACACGATATGACATGTTGTTCAATTCAGACATCACCATTTATGATTTACGGTTCCTCACATCCCATTGTAGTGATTAAAATAAAACAAGAGGGTGAAACTCACAAAGCGTAAATCTTACCCCCAATTTCCACCGCATTCGGAACAGCTACAAAAAGGCCATAACCGTCGATCGCAGCTGATTATAAACAATTCAGGTTAATGTGTAAGTTTCCACCAGCTTCTTTCTGTTCCGCTGCAGATCGGCAGACTCCGCAGCTGTTTGCAAGAGCTCTATTTTTTCCGGACGCCGGAGCATGCCGAATAAATTCAGCACAGATTAACCTGTGCTGGAAAGGAAGTCGGGCACAGACACAAAACAAAACATCTGGCTTCCTTTCAAAATAAAACACCCCTTGTTTCAGGTGGATCACACAATGCAAACGGGTGGAGATGAACAAATGAAAGGTTTTCAGACAGCATTTCACCCTGATGACACCGTGGATGAGGAGATGCTGATTCTAAAAGTCCTGAAGTGCATTTCCTCCTCTGAAAGGACACAATCTACTGCTTATATGGTTAGCGTATTTTAGCCTACTTGAATTTGCGGGTTCTTGTAAATTCTTACTATTCCCGC